AATTGTCCAAAAGGTGAAACCCCGAGTTGCATTTAAGACTAGGGCTAATGCTTTTAAACCTATTCGACATTAGACACGGGCTCACCCCATACACAGCTCAACTAGAAGCAGTATACTACTTCTATCACTTCATTTGTGAAAAATAATCAAAACCCACAATTCAGTGTCACCTCTAATCAATTGGGTCTTATCACTAACACACTTTCATAAATCTAAGCAGATAAAGCATTCAACTTTCCAATTATATATACGAATACTTCAATTGGGTCATACATTACCTTCAAAGTAATGGATTAAAACATAGAATAAAGATAATTCAGAAAAAAATTGGAACCCATTTTACAAAATGAACAAATGGGTAATGCTCAGGTAAACAAACCCAGATCAAGATCGTTTCTTTTCGATAAACAAACCCAGATCAAGATCGTTCCCTTTCGACACCCACATTGTCAAAATCACAAAAAGAGAGAGAGAGAGAGAGAGAGAGAGAGAGAGAGAGAGACCTCTTCAATGCGGGAGAGATTGAGCTGAAGGCGATTGTTGATCCACGTCAAAATCTCATTCCTCCCAACAAAGTAAGCACTGTCCATTATCCCAATGTTGGAAGCCATTTTTCTTCACCCAGAGTTTTCCCAATTCTTCCAATTCTCACAGACCCAGAGACACGGAAGGGAGAGGAAAATGCCAAAATAGAGTCGGTAGATAAAGCAAAATATTGTTTAAGTATTTAAACCGATGAGGATTAGGGTGTAATGAGTTTTTCAAGGAAAAAAAAAATTAAAATTCAAAAAAAAAGAAAAAAAGATTGTCGAAATCGTGAGAGCTGAAGGAGGATGGGAATTTGATGGTGAGAGAGAAGAGAGAAAAAGAAACGGAATTGGAAATTTGCACGACCGGCGGGCACTGATGTTTTGTAATCCGGAGGGTATCCTATCGTAACTGCATTTGGCAAATACAAGCGGGCGAAGAGGATAGAGAGGGTTTTGTTTTGTTTTTATATTAGTTAACTTTAATCCTTTTGTTTTATTAACTTAATCCCTTTGCCACGTGGGATTGATGGTAACTTTCTTCATGAGCAACGTTTATTTGTGGAGCAAGGAAAATTTGGGTGGAGGTGCTCCACCGTGTTATCTGACGTGCGATTAGTTTGAGACGTTACAATTTTAAAGAAGTAAATATAACCACGAGTTTGTGATTTAGTGGTAAATAACGGATTTCAAGGCTTCCTTTAAGTTACAAATTGGAGGTTTAGGGTTCGAAACCCATGGCTGGTGTGGAGACCAGACTTGTGGTTAGGATAAGGCTGAAATGCCTCTGTGAATCTTACCAGCCCCTGAAATTGGTGGATAACCGTAGCTTGCCATCAGTTGTCTTTCTTTAAAAAAAAATGAAGTAAATGTTACGTAGACCAAAATTTTAAACTAAATTTGTAAATCAAATGACATGTCACGAAAAAGACATCTCCTCAATGGGTATTGAATGCCAAGTCTTGGTGGTTGCAACCTTCTATATATCTTCCATGTTTTGAATTTGAAGACAAGAAAGAAACCCTTGTCTGTGGGTTGATTGAGGTATAAGAAAAAGCCTACATCTTATTTTTCACCTCTTCTTTTGATGGTTAACAACGAAATTACAATAGATATCATTATGACGCGAGCAAGAGATTCAAGCAATGTCACATTAATAGGAATCGATCTTAATCTTTTTGTTCTATTGGGTACATATATTATGCATGTCAACTTTATAAACGACAGATGATTATGGTAAAAGATAATAAAAAATGCCCACATACAGGTGAATTCAATTAAAATTTTGTAAGATTTTAATTCTTTTAATGAATTTAGGAGTATTCAATTAAGATTTTATTTGAATAATACACCCTGTATATGCATTTGAAAATATTTGAAATCTTATGGGAGATAAATATGGGATAGAAGAGAGAGAAAACGTTGGATTTAAAGAGAGATAAAACGCTGGATTTAAAGAGAGGTGAAGGAAGGGAAAAAAAAACTTTTTATAAGAGACTACTTATCGTCCGTGATTTTTACTTTTTAATATTTTTATTTAATTGTGAATAAAGAACCAAATCGTCTTTTCACATTTTTTTTTGGTTGCTAAATATAGTTTCGTTAATAGTTAGTGTAAATTGTGAAAATTTATAATGGTTAGTGACCCTTGATGAGAAAAAACCTTCGTCGAGTTTTTAAGGGCGCGGCTCTCCTCAGGAGGATGAACTGGTATAAGCTTTTGGACAAGGGCCAGAACAAGCTCGATTATGTCTTGGCTTTGGTTGTCGAGAACTTCCTCGAACGCCGCCTGCAGACGATTGTGTTCAAGATTGGTATGGCTATGTCCATTCATCATGCCCGTGTGCTCATCAGACAGAGGCACATCAGGTTGTAACATCCCACATCATCCAGGGGAGTGATCTTTAAATGTATATTCTCATCTCTACCTAGCACAATGCATTTTGGGAGCTCACTGGTTTCGGGTTCCGTAGGAACTTCGAAGTTAAGTGAGTAGCGCGCGAGAGCAATCCCATGATGGGTGACCCACTGGAAAGTTCTCGTGTGAGTTCCTAGAAACAAAACCGTGAGAGCTTAGTCGAGATCCAAAACGGACAATATCGTGTTATGGTGGTGGAGCGGGCCTTGGATGTGGTGGACCCCGGGCCGAGATGTGACACAGGTAGTCTTATTTGTTGCTATTGATCTATTTACATTTCATGTGACGATATTAATACTACTGAAAGGTGTTCTATTTGCTCATAGTTTGTGCTTGATCTAGAAACAAATGGCAGTATTGTCTGTTACATCATTATACCAACAAATGTCATGCCGCATTGTTGATGTTGGAAATTTTGAGTAGAATTTCATTGTCCCACATTGCTCACCACCATAAGGTTTCCTCACTTTATAAAATTTTGTCCCTTATAAAAAGTGATTGGAGTGATGGACATTGGAGACTAAAATTTGGCTCACCTTTAGAGTTAGGCTTTGGGGTGTAATAATTAATATATATAATTAATTATCAAAAGATGGCCTTGGGCTTTGGAGCTCTAAAAAATAAATTCTTTAATTAATTATTTTTAATTAATTTCAAATTTAATTAAATTATTTTTTTATGAAAAGACTCATCTTTTCAGATGAAGTCTGAGAGCGTATCTGAGAAACAGATGGAGCAACACACCATTTACATTGAACAGTCGCCTCTCAAAAACATGTATGTTGCGAACAGACATATGCTCACTATAAATACATGCATCTGCATATCATTCAGATCACTGAAAATCATCAATCCTCATACCAAGCATACTGAGAGTACCACAAACAAATTCGCCAGAAGTCTAGTTTTCCGGTGCTAGAATTCTAACTTAGATCGTTGAATCCTGGTGAAGCAGACGTTCGTAGAACTACAAGCACTGAATAGAGACGAAATTTCTGTTTCAAGGACATTGCTGTATGCAAGCCTCGATCTTCAAGTTGTTTGTTTTATATTTTTGTTTGTGCATCTGTTAATTGTTATATTCGCATTTATTGTTTATTAGCATATATAATTAAATCATAGATTGTTGATTTATATCCAACAGTTGATTATTCGCTTAAAGAGAAACTTGGAGCTAATTTGTTATAAAGTTGAATGGAGGAGTTTTAGAGTTAGAACTCGTGTTTTACCACTCTATATCCATCAAATTATCAGTATAAATTCACTGCGATATTGATTCAAGAGTTGTTCTTCTTCCCGTTTCATTTCGATTTCTGCTAATAGAGAAGATGCTATAGTGTTTGAATGGATCACATTGTTTACATATTATCAAACATCAACCAGTGTTTCGGTTGCTTGAGCTGCAAGGTGAACATTCATCCTCACTATACCTTGTTCGTTTCTTGCAGGCAGAGTTGGGAGGCAAGTGGTGAACATCCCCTCATCCCTGGTGAGATGTGACTCCGAGAAGCACATCGATTTCTTACTTACTAGCTAGCCCGTTGGGCAGTGGACAGAGTGAAGCGAAGGAACGCGAAGGCGGCTGCTGGAGGAGACGCAGGCGAAGAGGATGAAGATTGAATGACATTAGGTTTTCTCCCAGAACTACTAGGATTCACTTATCAGTTGCAATTCTACGTTGCCTTGCAGATAATGTTTTTTTTTCCAAACTCGATTTGTTGGGTCACTATTTCGAGATGTTCTGTATTTGACTAGTTTTGAAGGCTTCAATTTTTCATTATTCAACAACTAGCTCTTCTTCCTAGTTGTTAGTTGTTTATGTATCTCTTTGCCCATCGAATATATTTACCATTAGCTACGCGATTCTATCTATTACATTATTACTTTTTTATTTGTAAATAGAGAATGTCAAGGGGACTATTTCAAAAGTACGACTCTTCATAGACTTTCTATGATCGCCAAATCTCAAGCAACATTATAAAACATTGTGAAATTGTCAATATTAGACAATCTTTATTTTCGGGACTAGTTGATTCAGCCAACAATGATTTGTTGAGAGATTCTTTCTGCATACTCATGTTTGTTTGGCCCTTGAATTTTTTTTTAATGTAATTCAATTGATGGGTCAGAAATAAACAATAGTGTCGAAGAGAAAAAAAAAATGTACGAAAATCACTTTCTTATTCATTAATTATCAAATGTCGGTGGCAATAATAATAACAATCTCATTTTGAAGAGAAAATTTTCAATGTGCATATAACATAGGTGGTTGAAAAAAAAAATTCAAGTCTCCAACCATTTGTGTTATAACGCTTGACGTGCCGGATCATCTTCGCAACACGCTAAAAAAACTCTCCATTTTGAGGGCTTATCATAAGCCGGCATCAACCTCGTCGCAGATCATATTATAAACTTAATTAGATTATTTAATAATTCAATTAAAAATTAGACCTATTTCAAAAATCAAAAATCAAAAGTCACTAAAAAATTGAATCTATTTCAAAAATAGGTCTTTAAAATTGAACCTATTTCAAATTTTCCCTTAATAATATCATTAGCTCAAACCATACTCAATCTCAATAGTCGTCGGCCCATTAAACTCTCCTTCTCCAAAACTTCATCCAAAACCCCAAAACCAGAGCAGAGAAATGGAATCCATCAACCACCTCAAAGGCTATGGCAAAGTCAACCCAGAAACCCTTGAAAACCCAGAACCCCCTAAACCCCAAAAGCGCATCTCCTCCGCCGTCGCCATCTCCGCCGTCATCTGCCTGACTCTAGTGATCACCCTCGCGATCGCCGCCCTCATCCACGAGTCCACCACCGAGTCACCCGACGAGTCCCAACCCCAATCCCTCTCCAACTCGGCCGAGTCAACCATCAAAACCGTCTGCAACGTGACGCGCTACCCCGACTCGTGCTTCAGATCCATATCCGCCCTCAACCACTCTCCAAACCCCGACCCAGAAGCCATTTTCAAGCTCTCCCTTGAAATCTCCGCTGCCGAGCTCTCCCGCCTCTTGGCGTTGTTCAAGACCGTGAACTCCGATCCGGCGACTCAGGACTGCGTTTCTCAGCTGGAGGAAGCGATAAGCCGGGTCAACGACTCGGCGTCGGCGATGAGGGTGGACCCGGGAGAGAAGGCGTTGACTGGAGACAAATTGAAGGACATACAGACGTGGATAAGCAGCGCCGTGACGGATCAGGAGACGTGCTTGGATGGGTTGGAGGAGATGGGATCGACTGCTGTGGAGGCGGTGAAGAGCGAGATGAACAAGTCAAAGGAGTACAGCAGCAACAGTTTGGCAATTGTGGCCAACTTCAAGGGCATTCTTGACAAGTTCAATATTCCCCTCCACTAATTATATTTTAATTAATTGTATAAAGAAAAAAAGAAAAAGGAACATGAGTTTAACTTTTTTTTTGGGTTTTGAGTGTTTTAAGTATAATTTTCTTCTTAAATTATATAAATGGTGTTGTTTTGTTGTATGATTTTGTGTTTTTAATTTAGTGATTTGTTTGCACTTGCAAGTTCTGTATGAACAAAATGTGAATAACCACATACTAGTACTATTCACTTTACCCTTTATTTTGTCCTTATCATTAAAACTCAAAGTTTTCAAGCTCTTTTCATTAGTTTTCCTATATAATTAATATCAAGATCCTTGTGCGGAGCAAGGGAAGGGAATTCTCAGTTGGCGATTGATGTTGTGACGGATAGATGTACACTTTTAGGTAGACCTGTAAACGGGTCGGGTTTATTGGGTGGATCGGGTTTAATCCGACCCGTTAAGTTAACGAGTCACCTGAACCCGACCCGTTACGCTAATGGGTCACCCGTTTCACCCGTTAACAATTATTATTATTATTATTTTTGCATAAAGTTTATTTTTTGTTATTAAGACTTTACTAAAATTACTAAAATATCCTCAACTAACGGGTGCCAACGGGTCTAATGGGTTTACCCAAAGTGACCCGTTACATAACGGGTTGTTAACGGGTTCACCCGTTAATGACCCGACCTGTTAAGCATCTACCTAAATACAAATATTAACGGGTTGGGTCAGATCAGGTTAACGGATTGGGTCCAAAATGCCAGGCCTACTTTTAGGAAGACGAACCAATGTCATTTATAGCTCGGTCATTTTCTCAAGAGTGTGCACTTTTAGGATTATATAATCGCTTTGATGATAAGAATGCATTACTAATTGACGGATAGATATACATTTAAAAAAAAAACAAATCGATGTCATTTAAGTTGCATTTTTAGGATTATACAGTCGTTTTTTGTTGATAAGAATGCGTAACTAATTGACAGTGTTCGACTCCTTGTGATAAGGGATTCTCTTGTTATTGTTTTGTACACAGTTTATTTTCTAGAGGAAAATCACAATTTTCAATAACTATTTTTTAAGAAGTGACATATCAAATTGTGATTTGCCCTCACTTCCATAAATTGCTCCTTAGAGCAACTCCACCCTTGGAGTCCTTCCCCCTGGCAACTGCCTTTAATAAATAGTAATTGCCATTTGCATCTCTACCCTTGGAACCCTTCCCTGGCAATTGGTAATAAAATATTAATATTTTTTTTCTCACCCAATCCATAAAATATTATTATTTTATTTCTCTCTCTCTCTCTCTCTCTCTCTCTCTCTCTCTCTCTCTCTCTCTCTCTCTCTCTCTCCACCGTTACTCCTCTTCTTCTTCACCCTCGCATTCACCCTCACCTTATCAGCACCACCATCCCCTAAACCCTCCCCGCCTCCTCCCTCACCCCCACCTTCGTACTCCCCATCCTGCCCACCATCCTGGACGCACCTTCGTACTCCCCATCCCACCCGCCTCACGCCCTCACCCGCCTCACCCGCCTCACCGCCCTCCTGGACACACCTGCAGAACCTGACAGAAAAAAATATTAAAAAAGGTGTCTGACGTCAGATCCACCTAAGGCGCTCGGGCTGGCACGAATCCACCGGCCTGGCGCTAGGGCCTGCTCGGGCTCCCTCGCCAGCCAACGTTGGACTTCCTCCCACCGGCCCTCGGGCCCTTTCCTGGAGCCTGTCCCCTGAGCAACCACCAACGGTGGACTTGCTCTTATGCATGAAAAGTGAGGGGCTTCTCAGTTCTCTTTTTAACCAAGTTATTTTTTAAGGAAATATAAACAAATAAAACTTATTAGAAATTTTTAAATCTAAAAAATCGAACTCAAGAAGACTATGACGTCAAAAAAAGAACACTAAATTACACTGTATATACGGCTTATTGCTGCCTTAGTGTTCCTACTATTGTATTTTAATTTAAAAATTCACAACTTTTGTTCCAAATTATGCAGTTATATCATTTCAACTTTTGTTCCAGATTTTACCATTTCAACTGTATACTCCCCTGAATGAAACAGGTTCAGATCCATATTAGCAGACAACAACCTGGGGGTGGTTACTTTCGTTTTTTTTCTTTATCTTGCTTTGCTTTCAATCCTAATCGTTCAATGATTGATTGTGACGCTATATTTTGTAAATCGAAGACATTGTTTCTGGTCTATATATTGCAGCAAAATTATTATAATATGTAGTTTGGAGCTAGATCAATGACTAGCTACCATTTTAACAACACAGAAGAGATCAGAGTAGGGTACACTGAAGATTAAAAAACATATTTATATAGATAGATAAAGATATATATATATATAATCCTCAAATATATTTATCTATATCTCTCACTGATTGGATAACCAACCAAATTAATGTCGTAAAAGCGTTCTAATAAGTTCTTCATCAACATCAGTGATGCCTGCTGAATCCAGGAGTTCAGATAGTCTTTTGCTCAGATCTTCCACCTCCCTATGCAGCCTCTTTATGTAACTGCAAGTTTCTTCCAAAATGCTCGATGCTGATACCTGCGTGAAATTTGAAACCGTCAGAGTGTCATTTGTGATAAAACCCTAAATATAGAACACTAGCGATAGGTCATTTTAGCTAGAAATTGCATGCATGATTATTTCCCTAAGCCTATACCGGTGCGTTGCGCAAATGATGAAGCTGAGGAAGGAGCGGTTGTAGCTTTAAGACGAGCTCCTTAATCTCATCATCTGAGGATTTAGAAGCTCTTGATGATGATGATGATGATCTGCTTGACATTGCTGGTTGAAGAAGCACTCTTGCTTCTTTTTTTTTTTTTCTTTTCTTTTTTTTCTGCTTATAGCTTTTAGCTTCTTCGCACTATCAAATGTTTGGGGGGAAGTTTTAAGTACGAGGCCAAAGCTTCTTAAAAAGAGAGTGGGAAAGTGGGGGGAGACACAAATCTTTTTAGTTAGAAAAAGACACCAACGATGTTGATATGTTCTTGAGGCCCCATTGTACTTACTTCTTGGTTGAAAATTTCATCAACATAGACAAACACCTTTACTTGGTTTTTTTTTAACTGAAAATGTGACTTTAGCCCATTGTACTTACTTCTTGGTTGAAATTCAAGTTTACCCGACATAGTATTTTACTTGAATAAAACCCAATGACTAGTGTCACATCTCGGCCCGGGCCTCCTCCATATCTCAGGCTTGACTCTGCCGTATCACGATATTGTCCGCTTTAAGCCCCGGTCACGCCCTCACGGTTTTGTTTCTGAGAACTAACACGAGAACTTCCCAGTGGGTCACCCATCATGGGATTGCTCTCACATGAACTCGCTTAACTTCGGAGTTCCGATGGAATCCGAAGCCAGTGAGTTCCCAAAAGGTCTCGTGCTAAGTAGAGATGAGATGTTACAATACACCCCCCTTAGGGGCCCGACATCCTCGTCGGCACACTTCCGGCCAGGGATTGGCTTTGATACCAAATTGTCACATCCCGGCCCGGGTCCCTACCACATCTCGGGCTCGACTCCATCGTAGCACGATATTGTCTGCTTTAGGCCCCGGCCACGCCCTCATGGTTTTGTTTTTGGGAACTCACATGAGAACTTCTCAGTGGGTCACCCATCATGGAATTGCTCTCGCGTGAACTCGCTTAACTTCGAAGTTCTGATGGAATCCAAAGCCAGTGAATTCCCAAAAGGCCGCGTGTTAGGTAGAGATGAGAATATATATATATATATATATATATATATATATATATAAATAATATAATAAGGCTTAGATGATCCACTCCCTGAGCGATGTGGGATGTTACAACTAGGCTCCACATTAGCAAATTCATTAATTTTGTTTGACCTTACACATTTTGTATTTTTCAGATGACTAAAATACCCCTAATTACAATTTTAATGTATACATTTAATTCTATGCATATTTGAAGGGAGGAATTAATGAAAAAAAATTCACTAATTTTTAAATTCATGGCATATTAATATATCATAACAAATTGTATGTTAATGCTTATGGCAAAAAAATAAATAAATAAACATTAATGTTATACTTTCCTTAAGATTTCGTAATTGTTTTCCAAATTTGCATAAAATTAGACAATTTTAATTTAATCTTGTCATTTTCTTACTAAATGAAAACTGAAAGGGAACTACGGAGTAATTTACATAAAAATATAGGTAAATTATTTGGACATATGTGTTAGTAATAAAATAATCTCAGTTATGGAATAATACATGCAAAATAATTTACCTACAAAATAAAAGAATGTTATTTGATTGAAAATTAATTTATCTACATTTTATATGTAATAATGCATGTAAAATAACTTACTTACAAAATAAAGGAATGCAAGTTGATTAAAACAATAATATATCTACTACTTTTTGTTTATGAATTTTAATTTACCTTTTTTTTTTGTACAAACATAATGTACCTACAATATATAATTCCTACTAAAACTAATATAAATGTGCCCAGTATATGTAATAATGCATTAAAAAAATTTACCTACAAAATAAAGGAATGTAATTTGATTGAAAAAAAATATATATATCTACTATTTGTTTATGAATTTCAATTTTCCTTTTTTTTAGAAACATAATATACCTACAATATTGTTTAATTCTTATAAATAAATAATGTACTTATAATTTACCTATTGTTTAATTCTTATAAAAAATAATTTACTTATATTTTACATATACATATAGATAAATTATTTTTAACACGCATATATAATAACAAATAAAAAATGGCTAATGTATGTAATAATCTATGTAAAATAATTTATCTACAAAATAAAAGAATATTAATTGATTTTTTTTTTTATCAAACAATATCATTTGATGCAATATAATTGATTGTACAAAGGATTCTTTTATTTTTGTCATACGAAAAATGTGCCTATAATTGTTTATGAATATGGGTATATATATATATATGTTAATAATATTTATGAAACAAAATAGGTAAAATTTCAATATGGGGTTAATTGCTTATCATAATTAGGGTGAGTAATATTATTTATTAACATAATTAGGGTTTTGTGGCATAAGTTGTAAATATGTTGTAATAATTGGTTATATATTTGTCTACATGGTTG